TCTGTAACTGTTTTAAATGAGGATTTGCAAGTCTTTTTCAACTGAATTTTTGTTGTGCTTCCTCAGCTTCGTTTCTGCTTCAGGATAAAATTGAGAAAGCCGTTATTTCTCAGCGTTTAATAAAGTCACCTTGTGCACTGATTGCATCATCCTATGGATGGTCTGGTAATATGGAGCGAATCATGAGATCTCAACCGCATTCTAAATCATATGATCCAACTCAGGTCATTTTGCCTTACATCGCTGCCCTTAGAAAAAATAGCCTTGCTCATAATCGTTTTTATAGGAGTTTTATGCAAATCAGAAGAAAATATTTGAAATAAACCCTCGACATCCAGTGATTAAAGAGTTACTTCGCCGTGTGGAATTTGGAGATAATGATAAAAGGGCTTCTGAAACAGCGTTACTATTGTTTGAAACAGCCACGTTGCGATCTGGTTACATTCTGAACGATCAAGCTGCATTTGCTGAACGTGTAGAGCAAGTACGTTTAGTCGAAATTTTAGAAAGTTTTAGATTGTAGGTGATAGTTTCAAGTTCTAGAAATTTGTTCCTTATTATATATGCAGCTGACGAACTTGAAATAATGCTCAAATTTTCAGGTTCTTCGGCGTACAATGAATGTTTCGGCTGATGAACCTGTTGAAGAAGAACCTGAAGTTGACGAGGAAAACGAAGATGAGAAAATTAACGAAGATAAAACAGAAGTTGAAGAAGAAGATCACTCAGAGTTATAAGCCCTTCTTTCATAAATATTTTTCATCTGTTTGTTATGGGTAAATTATTATTTGTTTTAATATTTTAAGCACAGCAGAAATCTTGGTATTAAGTCATTGAGTATTTGTATGCTGTGATAATTCAGTATTATGTTCTCCACTATGATGTTTCTTTTGGTTCCAATCTCGTTAAAATGTGGTTCGAATTTGTTTGTTTGTTTTTTTTATTGTTGTCCAATAAATTATTCACCAATGATGATCGAAATAAAAATTTGGATCATTTGGCATCACTCAAGATTTGTCGTTGTAATCTTTACTGTTAATTTAAAAGCTCCGTCATTACTAAGATATGTAGGGATGTTGGTTTGCTTCTTCACTTGTGTTTATTGATTAGTGTTCTTTTCATACATTGCAATTAATTGAATAGAGCATCTAAACAATCTGCAACCTCTTCATGTGGACTGCTAGTTTTACCAATTTAAGGACTGAATGGTATGCTAAGATGCAAGTATCATCATTGTACTCAAGTAATATTGACCATTTTTAGGCGGTCAGGGTTTTAAATGCACTGTAGTTCATGAGGACAGAATTTAATTGTTTAGGAGCATTTTGTCCACTACTGAAATTGTTAGTATATCTATCATTTTATTCTGTGTTTTAGATGCCAGGTTATACATGAAGCAATTGAACTTATCATTTCAAGGAGACAAAGAGAGGTTGATGAAGACTGAGTACTAAGACATGATGGTTGGATTTCAACATATTGCATCTTAGAAGTAGTAAAGAAAGGAATCAGGTGATGTAAGGAAAGAAGTCAAGCAGAGATTTGCAGGGATTGCTGATACTTTTTCATGTGGTATTAGAATATTTTGCATGTTCCAGTTTTTCTAATGGTGTAAATATTTGCTTATTTACGATGGTGCAATGGGAAATTCTAAGTTCCATCTTGCATATGTGTGCATATATTATTTAGTTGCAACCATTTGCTGTATTTGCAGTAAATGATTTTTTGCTGCTTTTTCACATCTTTTTCAAAAGAATATGAAATGAGACATAATAATAATGCTGCTTTTGCAGCCTTCTTTAGAGCTCAAACATCGGTCAGAAATATGTGATTACAATTACAAAGAATGATATTTTTATCTACATGTCTGGATCATAAAAGAATTTGAACGAATTGAATATAATTCACCACAAACTTATGTTGTGTTCAATTATCTAAAAAAGCAATAAATTAAAAAATGTTTTCTTTGAATAAGTTATGAATTCATTTAATAACGATGCCGCAAGTCCAGTATGCTGAATTTGCTTACCAAAGTTATGCAGCATCACATTTGGATTGATGTTCTAGCGTGTTACTTTCTCTAATTGTGATTACCATTAAATGAAGAGCATCATCTTATAATTGGAAATGGATTATTTATTACATGCAAACCTGGAAAATATAAATTCATGCAGCGATAATTGGTAGAGAAAAATCACTCATTGAAAGTGTAGAGAAATTATGCCAAGATTGGAGAGCTATTTCGATACTGATGTAATGCATGATTATTCAGAATAATATGAGATAGTTCCTTAGTGATGAGCACTTATTACGACATCATCCTTCGAAGCTATTTTATTTCAGTTCTGAAATATAGCTTCTGTTCCAAAGTTTCGTGTGCATGAAGCATTGCCTGAAACAAGTTGGAATAGTTTCCTGAGTTGTCACTTATGAATAAATACAAAGACTCTGGTTGGACAATGTCATGGTGTTTACCCATAATGTCAGCATATTAAGTTCTTGAAGTAATTTAAACTGATTATTTGTGTCCTAAAGTTAATGTCTCTAATTTTAACAATACCTTAGTCTACTGTTGGTAAGCCAACTCATAATGGTATCACTTACTAAATCCAAGTTGGTGCTGTTGCAGTCTGGTATTTTAAAATGATTGGTGACGTTATTTGCTGGTATTTCCCATTGATTTTTAGATGAAACTTGGAGTTCGGAGCACCAATAGCAACTTTTGGGATCTGATTATTTAAACTTATGAGATTGTGTTATATTGATATTGTATGAAATGACATATTCTGCTAGCAATTATTTTAATTTTCTATGGGCTTAAATTTTTGTTGATTTTGGGTGATATTTTAGGTCCTCTCTTCATTGTTCGGGATGAATATGTCATAATTTTAGAAATTCTATCTGTTTCGTACTCTAGGTTCCAAAGAAATAAGAAATTTATGACAAACACGGTTTAACGGGTATTTCGTTAAGTATTTAAAATAAGTTTTTTGCTCTCAGTTTTGCATAATTAATCAATCTATTATCTCTAGTAAGTATGCTGCTTGCTTGTTGTGAATAAATCTTTCTGAATCTCATTTTCTAAAACATTCTCATTACAATAGAATTAAGAAAAGTACGTAGATTATATTTTTCATATCAACGTTAAATTGTTTACATAAATCTTTTAATCTTTAATATTTAGACGGTAAAAATGCATTATTAATTTCATAGAAGATGGGCATTCTGTGTAGAAAAGGTTGCAACAAATTATAACCAAATTAAATCATTCAGCAGTACTTCTCTAATCTTTTTGTACACTGAACGGGGTTTGATTGCTATGAAATGTTTCACTCAGTATACTTCTAAATAGATTTTGCATCATTTTAATGTTATTATCTCAAAGACTCTGATTATATTCCGTTTGACGCAAACCAGAAGAGAAATATTTGTGCAATAACAAATAAATCTCACACACATTCCCTTATCTAGCTGTCATCAATCTATATATGCTACTATTCTGTTTTTTCTGTTTGATGTTTATTGTTTAATTGGGATAGATTGTCAAGCACATGTTGCTTCGATGTAAGGAAATTCATCATATTTTGGGACAAATAATTCTGTCTATATGTGGACTAATTTGTATCTAGTAATTAATATTTCATGCGGTAAAAAATGGTTTTCTTAAAAGAAAGATGGACTTAAACATCACTTCGCTACAGTTTACAAATCTTATTCACTTTGGAGGAGTGCTTTACTAATCCATTCAGTGATTTGATCATCATACGGTGCTACTGTTCTTTTCGAAAATTATTCCGCAGATAGTTCATTCTGAAACGAAAAAAGTCAATTTTTTTCAAAATTTTTTTTGGTACAAATAGAGAAATGGATAAATAGTACGATATGTTTGAGGGGAATAGATGCACACCTCCCACGTTCATCTGTTGCTTGTTTCCATATTCCTTCTTCTGCCACTTTTCAAATGTTTAACAGAAATATATTCAAAAGAGTGAGATGTCAAGAGTGTTACTTTCCACTAGTTTTCAAAGCTCCTTATCGTTTTTTCAATTTACTTGTAGTCTGTTTTTACCTTTTTTCGTATAATTCAACTGGACGAATGAACTACTCATGCTTAGTAATTACTATAAAATGAAACAGAAGTTATCGACATAAGTTTGTTGTTAGGCAAGTTACAATATATAATGAAACCAAAAATAAATTAGCACGTTTCTTTCCGTGATGTCATTAACGTATGTTGCAAATAACTTTTATTATGCTTTTTTTCGCTTTAATTCCGCTCTTCTAATTTTCAGCTTCTATTTTCGAATATATTAAGTGATATCTGAAGCTTATGTTTAATACATGATTATACATGTATTTGCTTGTTGTAAATTCTTGAACAGCATGACTGCTTTCACTAATATTACGTTCATTCAAAATGATGGCACCTTTGATCGATAAATTCGTTATCATCCTCAGTGTTGCAAGCCTGTGAAAATCTCATACTACATTTTAAAAGGAATTAGTTGATGATAAACATGAAATGAAAAAGCCTATACTGTGAATTATCTTCACTTTTTCATCTTATCTCTACTGTGATTACACGAAACCTTCAGAGTGAAAAACAGGGCGTCAGTTATTTCGCTGTTTGAGCAATAGAACGTTTGATCACTCCTTTTTTAAATTTTCATTTCTTTTATCGATCTCGAACATTTCTCATATAATATATTTATAGTCATATGGGGTACGTATCAGGAGTTCTGTGATTTTGTATACGCTACTAAATGTTTCGTCGAAATATGCGTGGTTTCTGAGACTTTATTTATAAAATTAATGCGTAAGGTCAGCTGAAGTGCAGAGCACTTTTTTTGTAGATTTGAAACAATTATATGCATCGTTCTTGAGCAGTTGCTACACATGATTTGTGCTTTGAAACAGTTTTGGAATGCAAAAATCTATAAATCAGGTGCGAGTCATCAAAAAAGCTAAAAGAGTGATTCATTTTTTGAAAAAACGAATTGTGTTTCCGGTCACTGAGTAAACTGCATTCCCCGTCTCAGTGGGCGTAGTGCAGTGTATTTGAGTGTGTAACATGGGTGGGAAGGCGTCGACGCTACCACTAGCGCTAGCATTCTGGTTCGTTCGAAGTTGAATGACTTCATAAATTCAGTCAACAAGCCTAAATAAAAGTTCATGTTGCATTGTATTACTTTCATAGTATTTTAAAACAATTCGGAGAGCACAATGAAAAAGTGCTTTGCAATTAATGGAAAAATTAAGAGACAAAACATAAAAAAAGGAAAGGAATGCAGTCTTTTTTTGCGCAGTGTTCAGTGCAAAAGATGTTCTCTCATCACAGACGTAAGTGAATACCTGAATTAACCTCTTTTCAAGAATTCTCTTCCTGCTTCGTAAATTGATGACTGCTCGTACCAGAAAAGAGTTCGCCAAACAGCCCTCTTACTGCTTCATTTCAATTATCTAATATCATCGCACTTTGTTGTCCGCTATATAAATATAAATCAAATTATGTATAATTTGATCAGTGAGGACAATTCATGGTGGGATTACATATAAAATATGCAATCCCACTTTGCATACATATGTAAACAAAAAATGTGGAATGTGGATGAAGTGGTATTTATCTTCGTTTTCAAGTAATTGCAAACATCTAATTGTGGGATTATTGTTAAATCAGATGTGAAGTCATCTTTTTCGTCGAGTTCACTTGCTGTCTCTTCATCTGAAACTCTTCCAGCTCAGAAAACTTATTGTTATGAAGAATGTTTTCACACGTGCAGGGTGTTCATAACTCTGCAAAATACTATTTGGAATATTTTTGTTTAACGCCAAATTAATTGCATCCGGTCCCTGAGCAACTATATCACTCACAAATATAAATCTTGCATCACCAATTTCTTGACACATTGTGATGCAGCTGTAGAGCATTCATTAACTACCACGCCTTGATTGAAATGAAGACATAAAAGCCGCGTATCTATCATCCTGCCGCATCCTTTGTCTCTTGAAGATTAGAGATTGAAGTGGCAAATAGGAAACCAGCCCCATATGCAATGAGCCTCTGTCTAAAGCAGACAACACCGTTGATATCATTTCCGCCAGTGCCATTGTTACTCCCATGAATTTGTCTAGCAGACGCCGTACCTCTTCCACCCCCCTCTTGTACGAAATACATATATATCTACACACTAACACAGCTAACACAATTTCCCTTATCTACTTATAATAACGAAAGGAATTATATCACAATAATGGGAAGGGGGAGGGCTAATTTAACTGGTTGAAGTGAAAGAAGCTTTGTGCTTAATAGTTACAGAATTATCAAAAAGGATGAGCGTGAGATTGTAAGACCATTTGCAATTTTCACTTTTCCACTATACTGACCTCTTGCAAACAACAGTACTGTTATCATTAAAGTGAATTGCTTATGCTATGCTTCATTAGTCATCCTTAGTAAATGATTGTGCTCTGTTGCACTTAGTTTTCTGGCATATGTCGTACAGTATAGGCCATTAGCTAGTGTGACAAATCAGTGCTTCATGCCCAAATTACTTCATTCATTAGCACAAGCGCTTTTTCATGCAATGAGCATATTGAAGACCTTTAGAGTGATTTGTTAATAGATTACTGGTAAATTGAATTGATATTCATCACTCTTTTTCCAACCTGGGTCAGTTGAGAATGCAAAAATATGATTACAGCAAAAAAAATAGTGAAAAACTCATCATCTAAGAGCAGTTAGAATGAGTTAGAAAACCAAGTGATAAATTTCACATTCACTTAGACATTATATATCACGGTTATCTAAGTATAGGTATGAATAGATGAAATGGTAGCTGAGTACTGGATAGCATTGTTATCATGTGCGGAGATATAATATTGATACCATTATTCTCACATGTAGATAGATAATCAACCCATCTGGTCGTGGTCCGATATGGTTCGAAGTGGTAGTATGTCAGTGAGCAGCACCCATCCATCCATCACTCATTTATCTTACCGCTTCATACTGCATTCCATTTCATCTTATTGCATTGCATAGTGAAGCATGCATGCATGTACATTCTTTACCTTCTTTACTTTTATTATTTATTCTTGCATCTTTCTGCATCGCATTTACAAACCACTATACTTTTTCCTTGTGCAACTGCTGTAAGGCAGTTGACATTGAAATAGAATCAAATTTTTGTCATTCGTACTATTCTTTTCTCTTCTCTCTATATGCATTCTTCATTTCTTATTTTCTGCCTGTTTCCTTTCGCTGGCTGTTCGCCAACATCGGTCACGTGTAAATAGCATGAAAGATGAATGAATGATGAGAGTAGACCAGGCGAAGGGCCAACACTTCCTGTGAGACGCCTCCGCACAGACATACACGTATTGCACATTTACACTAACATACATACCCAGACAGATCTTTCTCTCTGTCTGCTGTCAGGAAGAGAGAAAAAAATATCCCTGTTTGCTATGATGTCTCTAAAAGAGGGCATTCTAAAGAGAGGAAAGAGAAATAAATAAATGTACGTCGCTGTCGTCGCCATTTGGCTCCTTTCTACTACTTTGAGCTTACTATACATAAAAAGCCGCTGTTCATAGAGCTCTATTGTTAATAACACGTAAAAATTCAGGCGATCATTATTTCTGTTATTTGAGTAATTGTTATTCAGTATTCACGAGCATTTATTCATTGCATTAATAAGTAAGTGACTCTCTGCTTATTGCATGAGATATTTAAGCTTTGTACACCTACATCATCATCATTTGAGAGTTGAGATTGGGTCACTCTCGTACCTGTTACGTCAGCCACTGCATGGAGTCCAAGAAGCCTATCGAACTTAAAGTATATAATATATATATA